TTTCGTGTATTTGGCCTGATTGATGAATATTCCTTCATTGAGTTTGCTTTACTTGTAAACCAAGAAAGTAGTTCAACTCTCCCATCATGCTCATCTCGAACTTATTCTGCATTAGCTTGGAAAATTTCTCACATAAAGTTTTATTAGTACTACCAAATATAATATCATTGACATAAATTTGTACCAATAAAATGTGATCATTTTCTTGAATTCTAAACAAGGTTTTATCAACAAGGCCTTTTGTAAAACCACAGTTAATTAGGAATGTTGATAGAGTGTCATACCAAGCTCTCGGTGCTTGTTTTAACCCATATAACGCCTTCTTTAATCTGTAGACCTTATTAATATCACCTTTTACCTCGAAACCAGGAGGTTGTTCAACGTAGACTTCCTCTTCAAGTAAGCCGTTCAAAAATGCACTTTTCACGTCCATTTGATAGACAGTGAAATTCTTGTACGCGGCATATGCTAGAAATATTCTGATGGCTTCCAGTCTTGCAACGGGTGCAAACGTTTCATCAAAATCTATGCCTTCTTCTTGTGAATATCCTTTTGCCACAAAACGCGCTTTATTTCGTATGACAATTCCATCCTCATTTGATTTATTCCGAAAGACCCATTTTGTTCCAATTACATTGTAATTTTCAGGTCTTGGAACTAATTCCCATACGTTACTTCTTTTAAATTGATCAAGCTCTTCTTGCATTGCATTAATCCAATCTGGATCACTTAGAGCTTCTTCAATGCTTGTGGGCTCCACCTGAGAAAGAAAATAAGAAAATAAAGTATGTATATTTGAGGACCTTGTTTTTACTCCTTCTCGTGGATCTCCAATCACTGGCTCTGGAGGGTGATTTTTGAGCCATCTCAAGTCAGGTTGTAGGTTGCATGGGCTTTCCACGTTTCCTTGCTCAGTAGGTAAGTTGGAGGTAGACACATTTTGCTCATCAGATTGATCTCCAACTTGTGTTTCAACTTGAGAATTTTGACTTTCCACGTGGGTATCTTCATTGACTTCCACGTGTCCTTCACAATCAATGTCCAATTGCTCCATACCCTGTATAATTTGATCTTTGAAAGATATGTCAGTATCATTAAATGATTTTTCAACTTGACAACTTTCCTGATCATTTTTGTTGCTCTGGGTTTTCTTCTTATGAGCTTCATCAAATGTAACGTGAATTGATTCTTCTACCACCATTGATTTCTTGTTCAATACTCTGAATGCTTTGCTGGTAGATGAATATCCTAAAAATATTCCTTCATCTGCACGCTCATCAAAAGTCTTTAGATATGTTTTACCATTATTAAGAATAAAACATTTGATGCCAAAAGTATGAAAATAGTTAAGTTTAGGTTTTCTCCCTTTCCATAATTCGTACGGAGTCTTATTGTAAGACTTGTGTATCAAGCTTCGATTTTGCATGTAGCAGGCGGTGTTGATTGCTTCAGCCCAATATCTTTTAGGTAACTCGGCTGACGTAATCATCACTCGTGCGGCTTCTTTTAGCGTTCTATTTCTTCTTTCGGCTACACCATTTTGTTGCGGTGTACGTGCGGCAAATAATTGATGTAGAATTCCTTGAGAATTGCAGTAGGCTTTAATTACTTGATTCACGAACTCTGTTCCTCGATCAGTTCGAATTTTTGCAATTTTCAAGTCTTTCTCGTTTTGTAGTAGCTTGAGCAGTTCTGGCAACTTTTGCTCTACTTCATTCTTCTTTTTGAGAAATATCGTCCATGTGTACCTGGAAAAATCATCAACAACAACTAGTGTATATTTCTTACCACTTAGACTTGCAGGGTCTACTGGACCGAATAGATCCATGTGTAGTAGACTCAGCGGTCTTGTTGTAGATTCTTGAACTTTGGATTTGAAAGATGACTTGATTTGCTTTCCTCTTTGGCAAGCATCACATATTTGATCTTTCTTGTAGACAATATCGGGTAGACCTTCAACGAGTTTGTTTCTTGCTAGTTTGTTGATAGTCTTGAAGTTTAGATGATTCAACTTCTTGTGCCATTCCCAACTTGTTGCATGTGAGTTGTTTGCTAGTAGACACACTGATTCTTTTATTGTGTTCCAATCCACAATATACATATTTTTCTTCCTTATTCCTTCGAGCACAACTTCTCCCGAGGAATTATTCTTCACTTGGCACTTGTCTTTGAAGAACTCTACTAGATATCCTTTGTCACAAAATTGACTTGTACTCAACAAGTTGAATTTTAGACCTTCAACAAAGGATACATCTTCGATTTTCAAACCATTTCGAAAAATTGTACCAACTCCTTTTGTTATGCCGTATCGTTCATTTCCACCGAATACGGCTTTTGGTCCTTCGATATTTTTAAGATTCACAAGACTAGATTTATTTCCAGTCATGTGTCTAGAACATCCACTATCGAATTACCAAACTTCCTGCAAACAAATTAAACATTTTTAGGTACCCAACTTGATTTGGGTCCTTGAGTGTTAGTCATTTTTGGTACCCAAATCCACCTTGTACTCACTGATCTAAGTTTAGGTGATTGGTAACCATTAAACATATTATAATCATATTTAATTTTTGAAAATAATTTTTGTGCCGGTTTTTGAAAATTTACTCGATTCTTTGGCACATGGGAAGAAGATTGTTTGGGCCTAGGATAGGCATTAAATCTGGACTTAGTCCATGGTTTAATATAACCAACCCAATCTTGTTTTGAGGGATAAAATCTCCCTGCCTCAATTCTTGGATTTCTTCCCATTTTCCTATGAGGGCTTTGTGCACTAGACTCATTGGTGTATTTCCATTTAGGAACAAACTTTTGCCTTTTTGTATACTGTTTAGGCGAAATATTGTTTCTTTGAGGCTTCGGCCTAACAGCATTAATTTTGACATTAGTTTGGTGACCAATTCCTTGTCTCACTGTGCTTTCTTGACCTTTAACAAATTTTACTACTTGGACTTTATTACTTAAAGTAGTAGTAGAATTGGCCAAGTTCTTGGAGGCTTGAGAACACGATGGATCATAACAAAGTCCGGTTTTATCACTTTAGGGTTTTTGCATATTTACCATTTTGTCCATTATTTTGGATGAATGTGTAAATGTTGCTATAACCTCTCTAAGGTTGTGTTCTCTCACTTCCCTTGATTTACACTCTTCTTGAAGACAAATAATTTTATCTTTCAAGTCTTTCACTTCAAGTAGAGCATTTTGCAATTTCTCATTTATTTGATCTTTTTCGAGAATCAAAAGACAATTGCGCTCTTTGAGTTGAGAGTGAGTGTCCATTACGGTTTGACATTCTTCCATTAAGTGAAAGAAGGACTCTCTAGAAAATGAAGAATTGAAAGAATCATAAGAGTGAGATGTTACCTCATTTTCTTCATTTCCATTTGCCATAAGACACATGTCCTCGTAGGGTGAGTCGTTGGAGATGCTCATGCAAAACATTGCATTGTCATCCTTTGAGGTGTCACTTTCATCACTTGAAGATTCTTCTGACTCACTTATTTCAAGTGGGTCACTAATAAGTGCTTTTCTTCTTTCCTTTGTGAACCTTTTATCTTTGGGCTTGAATTCTTCCTGTTGAGAGTTAGAAACATTTGTATATTGATTTTTACTTACCTTGGGGTGTGGACAGCTTGCTGCAAAGTGTCCAGGCTTTCTACAATTGTAACATAAATTCGAATCTTCCTCAACAATTTCTTTCTTCGAATTCTTTGTTGCGTTCCACGATTTCCCTTGTGGATTTTTCTTGTAGTTGCTTCTTTTCATGAATTTCCTAAATTTGTTGACAAAGAGAGCAAATTTATCATTAGGCAATAATTCAACATTTTGTACTGACCTTGAGGTTGATGGTTGCTCGGCTACAAGTGCATTGATTTTTTCTTCATGATCTTCCTCTAATCTTGATTTCATCTCAAATTCATAAGCTTTTAAATCACTAAAGAGCTTATCGGTCGATAGGGTTTTTAAATCTCTATGATCTCTCATGGCCGTGACCTTCATGTCCCATGTAGATGGTAGACCACGTAGAATTTTGAGTGAAATTTCTTTTTGATTAATATCTTTTCCAAGATCATTAATCTCTCCTAAGATTTTGGCAAATCTTGTTTCCATGTCGGTAATATTCTCGCCGTTTAGCATTTTGAAATCCTCGAATTTCTTTAATGCTATGGTGAGCTTATTATCTTTTTCTTGCTCGTTTCCTTCACCAATTTGAATGAGCGTTTCCCAAACTTCCTTTGCGGATTGACACTTTCGAACTTTTGGAAATATCGTGTCATCGATAGATTTAAACAAAATATCCTTGGCAATATTGTCCAAGTTATTTCTTGTTCTATCTTCACGAGACCATTCCGCTTTCGGTTTTGGAATGTATTGTGGAGTGTCACTTGTTTGTACGGATGAGGTGTTGACTTGCAAAATCTCAATAGGACCACTTGTAACCACTTCCACTACACCAAATCAGGCGTTTAGCGGCGATTTTTTTTGCGTTTAGCGGCGGTTCCAAACCGCCACTAGTGTGTTTAGCGGCGGTTATTCAACCGTGTCTAAATAGAGTGTCGCGAAGCATTTAGCGGCGGTTTTCTACAACCGCTGGAATTCATGAAAAACTTATTTAGTGGCGGTTTTAAATACATTTAGCGGCGGTTTACAAACGCCGCTAATATTTATTTAATATTTACGGTTTTAAATGCATTTAGCGGTGGTTTTCAAACCGCCGCTAATTTTTCTTTAAAATTTACTTTAAATTTTAGCGGCGGTTTTTAAACCGCCGCAAATGTGTAATATTTTTTGGTAAATGTTAGCGGCGGTTTTAGTTTTAAAACCGCCGCTAATGTTTATTTAATTTTTTTTTTTTTTTTGTATTTTCTCATCTAATAGGGATTTCTACTAAAATTTATAATTGTCATTAAATTACTTTTTTTGTTGTAAACATCTACTTTCATATGTGCATTGCAAACACAAATAAATACACATTTAATTTAGATGAAAATCAAATGTAATTTGTATTGCCAAATGCTAATGTTTAACAATATTCAAAGAAGTTTACATATTAAAAGAAAATCAATTCAACATCCAAGCTCATTGGTGGCAATTTTATCATCAAAAGAGAGCTCATTCATCTCCACTGTAGTGATGGGTTCCTCATGTGGCTCTTCCTTGACACCTCTTTGCTCCTGCTCTTTCTTTATCCTTCTAATTTTCATATCCTTCACTATGCTGTCATTCTTGGCCGCAGCAAGCAACCTGAGCTCTTCTACTATATTTCCAGAGATAAATGCGAGAGTCCTCCCCAACAGATATTACATGTTTTCTAGTTGAGGTATAAATGCAGCTGACATCTGATTTCCAAATTTTGATAGACCTGTTCAATTCGAGGGAAAAAAGTTTGATGTTATTGAAAGCAGAACATTTATGTGCATTTGAGGACGTAACAGATCGTTTCTTACCTCTGTATTTACAGACAACCTCGTGCCCACCGAGAATACGGATCTTAGAATCCCCAGATGTAGTCATGACTCTGAGAATCATTCAACAAAAACTGCAAGGAAATGGTGGTCTGCTGTTATGACTATAGAATTTGCAGGTTATGAAATGAAGTTAGAAAGTGGAACAAGGCATTGGAGTAAAACCTGAATGCCAGTTATCATGTTGCTGTTTGATCTTTTTCTACCACCAATGTGTATCTCGGCATCTAAGGAAAGCTCGATTCCTGTATAAAGAACATAGAGGTTCAGAAACAAAACGTCAAAAAGGAACAGAAAACAAGACAACCTTGAATGAAAATAGCATATCCTGTTCATAAAATCTGCAAATACCAGATATAGAACCAACTATAAAACCCTGTATCATGAAGAAACACACATACATAATCAGTTTATAACCACCATGCACGGCTGCACTAGACTAATCGAAGTATGTAATTTGATGCATACCTTGCCATTTGGAAGAAAGTAGATTATTTGCATAATCGAGTGAGTTCTTCTACTCTAGCATACCTACACATCAAATAAAAAACAAATTTCAGTTATAGTGCCCCTTCCTTAGAATTTATGTAAAACTGGAAGTTAATGTTGGTTAGGAGGAGATAGGTTGGAGATTCATGTGCAGATTGACAGGGAGGGAAAGCATCACAGAGGGCAGGGTAATGCAGCAAATTGTCAAACCGCACTTTCTTTAAAGCAATAATCTTCCCTGTTATAGTGCCCCTTGCTTTATATACATTACTATACGTTCCTTGACCAATCTAAGAACACAAAAATATCAAGCATATTAATGATATACACACAAAAAAGTAGAGAAACAATAACTTAGGCATATACACATTAGAAAGCCCAATCACAGTGTACCTTATCAATTTTCTCAAAAGTGTCAGCCCGTCTAGGAAGCCAATCCTCAATTGCTTCCCCAACATGAGCTGAAAGCCAGGATGGCCATCCAGCAGCAACCTGTTCAGCATCCAACTTCCTTACCCCTAAAACCTGAAACCTCTAAAGTCTCTGCGGACTCAACACTTGTATTTTTACTCATAGTTCTTCTACTGAGAATTTTTACATCACAATCAAATAGAAGCTTGATAAGATTACCATTTCTTAAATTTGTTCTTCTTTTCCACTACTATACACTTTTGAGAAGACTAGTGTTAGGACATGTGCCCTAACAAAATTGTACTTCTCTATTACATCACCTTTCTGCATTACATGTTTCTGTTTCCAACTTGAAGATCTAATTAATTGAAAAGTCTATTGAATAAGTCTGAATAGTTTTAAAAATTGCATGGAGTACCAAATGATTTATCTCTTTTCAATAAAATAAAATAAAAGAGCTTGTGGATAAATGACAAATCTTTTTTCAATTAAAATAAAATAAAATAAGCTGTGGATAAATGACTTCAAAATGTTCAAATTTCATCACAATCTTAATGAGTTTATCACTTACTCAAAAAAGAAGCCAATAGTTCTGAGAAAAAAGAGCAACAACATTAAATTTGTCCAAATAGTCAAAATAACATAAGATCACTTGAGAGCTAAATTTGTCCCTATCACCTTCCCTGGTGTTCTGGCATTACCAAAAAGATCAATTAAAGCATCTTTGTTTTCATTCCATTCTTCCACTATTACAGGTTTTATCTTCATCCAGTTTTCAAGTATCTCGTCAACTGTGAGTCCCTCTGCAACCTTGTACATTTAACAACAAACATCAGCCCAAGCATTATCGAGAAAAAAACATAAAATATGACAGTGTCCAATTAGGATATCATTACTGAAAATCTACCAATACATTTTCATAGCCGATTTCTACCGCTCTAGAATAAGAAGTCCATGTAAATAGAAAATGTGCAATTGTTTGCCGTTTTATTAGTTATATAATTCTAGCCTTCACAGTCAACTGGACATCTCGGTCTTTTTCCATTTTTGTAAGTGATGACTATAGAGAGTGTATAAGCAGTTGCAGACAAGGTAAGTCACAATGAAGAGAGTTGCCTTAACAACAACCAATGACCAATCTGCAGTCCTACATTGCCCAGAAACTGCAGAACCTTAACAATGAACCCCAGGATAGATTAAGAATGTAAAGGATTTCCTAGCTTCAACATTAACTTGGTGCTACAAATTTAGATTCTTTAATCTTCCAAAGCAGAAAGTTCATATAGAAGATTGTATGAAACTACTTACAGTTGCATATCATGTAGAAGATTGTCCATTAACATGATGACTAGAGGATGAATTTTTCTTTCCACTCCCTTGTGAAGATTGTTGCTTGCTTCCATCATCGGGTACCTACATTTCATAGTATAAATTTCAATACTCGACTCTAAATAGTTAAATGAAATCAATGGTGTTTGCACAACAATATAGAAATGCATACAATCCGTTTTTCTTAATGTATAAATCAGTATTTGAAAAAAAAAAAAAAGTATGCACTTACTGGTTGAGATGTTTGGTTAAGGAAGGTAGCAAATTCTTCAGGAACTTTGCCAAAAGTTCTTTCCAAAATAGCAACAAGAGCCCCTCCCATGGCCTTTTGCATATCACTTTGAACTTGCAATTTATCACTTTGAACTTGCAATTGAGCTTTAGTTGCAGCTAACTCATCATTTTGGAAGTGAAATTTTAGCTTCAAATCATGGTAAATGTAATTATTAGCATTATACATTTATTTTTTGAATATAGCAAATAATTGAATCTATTTTGTTACCTTGATTATTTTGGCAAAGGTATCTTCTTTATATTGCTTTGGCATCAATCTCCAATCAGTAAAATTGATTGGAAATGTGCTACTTTCCTGTGCCAACCCTGCAAGTGTTCCAGTAAATAATCCAGCTGCGTCGGTGGATGGTGTATCAAAGTTGTCAAATGGGACTATGATTTTTTCACCCAATGGGAGTGTCCAAACTTCTTTAACCTTCAATTTTTTCTTCCTCACAAATCCTTCTTCATCTGTCAATAAATGAAACTAAATTAATATATTTATTTATTTAGACTTTTTGTACATGTCAATCAATAAATATAATAATGTAAACTTACTAATCACATCAACTTCCCACGCAGTCCTCGTTTTCTTTTTAGATGAAGATTCATTTTGGTCTTGTCGTGTCTCACTATCTTGAGCTTGCTCTTGAGGTGTTTCATTATTTTGGGTTTGTTCTTCAAGTGGTGCATCATTCAACAATTGCTCGTGTGTTGGTGAAGAAGATTGTTGATGAGACATTGACCGACTCATATCCGTGAACCTTTTTGATCTTGGCATATCTACACATTAAATGAAAAATTAAATATTATAATGCTAGTTCTATTGGAAATCTGAGCAGCCAAGCAGAACTAAAGAAGCTTAGGGAGTAGAAATTGTGCTTTCATTGTAGGGAAGGGAGCAATCTGTTATTTTCCTGATGTAATAAGAAAGGACAGGGAAGGGAGCAATATTCCACAAACTAGTACAACTCCTAGCTGCAGAAAACAATTTCAATGAACTGTTATTTACTTTCTAAGTTCTTAATGAAGGCCATAAAATGTTTAACAGCTTTTCTCCATTCATGATTACCAGGCCATATAAAGAGAATACATTTTTTAAATCTTTGAGATGTGAATTGGTAAAGCAATATGCCTCTGCATTTAAATACAGCAATCGATATACTATCTACACCCACAGCTTAATCATAAATCATCTCAATGATACTAACTCCAAAAGCAATGCAGTCAAAATAATAGTATGAGATCTAAATCATTTTGTCAAAGACTAGGTAGCAACTAACATTAGGAGAAAAGGTATAAAAATGATTTGAAATATAGTAATCTATTTCAAAGTAGACCATCCCAGTGATCATTTCAGATGATCATAATGATTGAACAACATGATTTGTTTCTTCAGCTTCAATCTTATGTAGTAGGATCGAAAAAAATCAGCATTTTGTTCTTCCAACTTTCGCCACACTGTTTACTAGAGGAATATATTGTGAAAACTACAATTTGAAAGCCTTCAAAGAAAACTATTGAAAAAAAATAAAATATTTGATGAAAGATCCAAAATAAGCACATTGACCAAAAAAAAAAAAAAAACCATAAATATATTCAGCACCTAGAATTGTAAATGCAGGATCTATCTTTGCACGATTCACAAGTGCTTTAACTACTATATTGAAAAACAGTTTCATAGCCAACCTAGAAAGACAGCCACATCTGCCAGTCCATACCCTAGCTAGCTATCAAGAATTTGGAATATAGCAAATGTAAACTCATATAATTATACATTTTCATTTAGAAACTTTAGGTTTCTAATTACTTTCTGGTGGAAAAAAAAATTCAAAAATTAATCTCATTTTGATTTTACTACAAAATTTCAAACACATATGGAGCTTTGCTTACAGAGAATTCAGATTTGGAGGTTGTAAAGAACATTGTATCATAAATAGTAACATATACGATTCTCTGTAATCACAAATAGGGAAGTATCACATTGTATCATAAAACACATAATATTCAAAAATTAATCCAGCAATCACAAATCCAGAAAGAGGGGAGTATCACCACTATTCTGCTTACGGAGATTTTAAAAGGAGTCTACAAACCTTACTGAGCGATTATCAATCCTTAATAATCTCCTTTTTCTGAGGTCAATGGCAGTGGAGACGGAGGTCGTAGGAACTGCTGAACTCAGGGAGTACTGGAGACTGTTGCGATGGAGCACACACTTTGAGGGGCTGGTGGAGACAAGAGACTGGAGCGGTGGTCCGGTGGTGGTTGGAAGAGACGCCGACACGGAGGTCACCAGGATGGAGCAGGGAGGACTAGAGGAGACGAAGGTCGTAGGTCGCGGGGATTTCAAATTTGATTTAGGGATTTTAGATTTTAGTTTTGTTTTAAGGGCGAGAGGAGACGGAAGACTAGAGGAGACGAAGGTCATTACAATTGATTTAGTTGAGTTTTAGCGGCGGTTTAAAGACCGTCGGTAAAATACACATTAAATTAAAAAGAAATTAATGTTTTGTAAGTTTCAGTATAAATTTAGTGGCAGTTTTTCTAATCGTCGCAAAATTTTTATTTAGCGGCGGTTATATATAACCGCCGCTAAATATATGTCGCTAAAAATTTAATTTGTTGTAGTGTTCCCACATTTCATCATGTAATGCGGATAAATGTACCTACATGCGAATTTTCCAATCATCAAATTTCTCTAAGGAAAATAATAAGTTTTGGGCAAGAGCCATATCTCTTTTCATCATCTTGATTTTTCGAGATCTGTCTAGCAGTCAAAGTTGAATCAAATAGACAACCGCTCTGATACCAATTGTTGGTCCCGATAGGGTGGTAGAAAGTCTAGAGGGGGGGGGGGGGGTTAATAGACTTTCTAAACTTTTTCACAAATTAAATAACTCTTTGGTAACTTCAACTCTAAGTAGCAAGTAAATAGAGTAAGTTTAAACTGCACAGCGGAAAAGGTAGTATGTAAAGAGTTATGCCCAATTAAATACGCATGTAAGATGAATAAAATGACAGAGGGGTCTTGAATATATAAAGGAGATGGTTCACTCAATATATAATAACAATATTCAAGATTGTAAATAAATATCGTATCACGTCGACCGTGTAACGGATGTTACATGCAACACGTCAAACTTGCTTAGAATAATTCAATATTTAAGCTCGAGAAGTTTGAGTCACATGCATACGTGAAAACACACTAAACCCGAACGATTAAGATTGATTGTGAATAGTAAACGGGTTAGTCGGATAAGATAGATAGATAGAGCAAATTATGTAAGTGCGGTATGTAAATGAGAGAGGCAATTTATAGTGGTTCGGAAGTGGCGTAATCTTCCTAGTCCACTTTTCTCCTTTCGCGTCTAGGAGAAATTCACTATTTTTCCACACATAGTTACAATAGTGAATAAGCGCTACACAAGCACTTCTTCCGGATGTCTTGCACACAGCTACACCCAACTCCGAGTGTCTCGCACACAACTACACTCAACTCCGAGTATTTCGCACACAGCTATACTCAACGCCAACTAAGTGTCTTGCACACAGCTACACTTAGCAACTACGAGTGTTTTGCACACAGCTACACTCACTAGAGTATTTTGCACACAGCTATACTCTTTTTACAATTACAAATACAAAGGTAATTGTATCTCTCTCCAACTAGATTTGAGACTATTCAGACTAAGTCTCTAAGAATATTTGAGCACTTGCACTTTTTGAATTTTCGTGTGTATTGCTCTTCTATCTTGTGTCTATCTTGTACACCTCTGCTCCATACACACTTTGTCTTCAAGTCTTCATGGCTTTTTGTAGGCAATCAAATATATCCGTTGGAGTGGGATAATTTGATATTTGAAATTTGAATCTTCATAGCCTGATATTGTTGACAATAGTAGGTCTTCAATTTTGATTTGATTGTCAACTTGCCTGACAAAATAATATCTTATCTCCAATTGATTTGTTTAAAATATTATTTTGTTGTCATATTGAATATCCAATGTATCTTTGAAATAAATTCATCTGATAGAATTTATTTCTAGGATAAGTTTTTATATTCATGTCTTCATAAATATTTTTCCATTCTGACAAATGTCTTTCAGGCAATTTTGGATTCTTGTGGCATGTGGGTAGACTTGGAATAAATTCCTTCGAACTAATCCAATTTCTGATCATCTTGCTTCTTTGCCACATTGTGCTCCTTTGACTTTGAACATCGTGCTCCTTTGACTTGAACATTGTGCTTTTCTGATTTGGTCACATTGTGCTCCTTTGGACACATCGTGCTCCTTTTGATACATTGTGCTCCTTTTGAACATTGTGCTTGTCAGCACACATCGTGCTCCTTAGCACACATTATGCTTGTCCGCATCGTTCTCTTTTGGTAGCATTGTGCTCCTTTGGTAGCATTGTGCTCCTTCGGTAACATTTTGCTTGTCCGAAAGTTTGGCTAGTAAAAAATAAGTCCTTGGGGGGAATCAATCTCGGGTGTGATCGTTTTGAGTAAGGATTTCTACCATTTCGCCGTTAAGCTCATCTGGTCATTCTTTGCAACGCTATTCCTTTATGCTTCTTTCTCGGATGAATATTCGTAGGACCAAAATTAATTTCTCAAATTAATTTTGTTCTTCCTATGGTAGATTCCTTTTGATTCGTTATTCTGATTTATGATGCTTGTACTCAAAGACCTAAAAACAAAGGGGATCTAAAGTACATTTGGCTTCATCAAAACATACAAAAATATTCCTATCAGGTTGCATGATATGGGTGCACCATACTAAGTAGACTTAAACTGACTCAAATAGAATAAAATTGGGGACTACTTGATTTTTCAAAAATACATCATTCGGCTCATCAAAATTTACAATTTATTCCTAACAAGCATTAACGCTACAATGAACAACGCATCGAGGATGCTGAAATCATGGCACATATGTCTACTCAAATGTCTCTCATCACAAAGCAGCTCGATGCCTTGTTCTGCCTGCTAGAGGAGGAGTCACGAGGATTGCGCATAGATTATCGTTCGAGCTGATGAAGTATGGATAGTCCAGATCCTCTATCGTGTGGTTTCTTTGCGTCTGCAGAAGGGAGTTCCTATGCGGAATCGTAGTCGAAGCTGTGCGAACCGGCGATCTAGCCATTGGAGAAGTGATTGTCTATCCTGACTTGCCTCGCCTGAGACAGCGGCGGAGTAGGAACTCCGCCGCGGCTGCTCTGATACCATTTCGTAAATGATGAAAGCAGCAGGAAGAAGAAGGTGAAAGCAAGTTTGAAACTGGAAAAATGAGAGTGAATTAATTTGGGAAGGGGGATGCCAAACTGATATAAGTTGGCGGTTACAACAACCAAGAAAAAAGATTTACAATACTACCCTTCTTTATTTTCCTTTTCTTCCTATAATATTAAAGAATATTTGACAAAGCATATATAGCGTCAAAATTCAACCAATACGAGCTCTAAAAGAGCCATAAAATTATCGTGTTGATAACGTGTTGAGAGAATATATAGAATATATAGAGATAAGGGAGAAAATAAGGACCATCTCATTCATCATCTCATTCTATACAAGATTACAAAGTATATATATAATATATATTTGACAGATATTACAAAACATTCCATAAATACTAAAGCTGTTACAAATCATGTTATCAATGCCAGAATAATGTCCATAATAAGATTTTACAACACAGAAGACATTTGCTAAGTTTTCAAACGCACAATTAATCAACTTAATTACTAGCTCCACGATGGACCTCCGAGAAAGGCTTATGCTTACCAAGTTATAGCCCAAGAAATATCATTAAATGTGTTAGAAAATCTAATGGGCTGGGATGTGAGACATAGGGAATATCATCAACCAATCATCCTTGGTCTAGTGATTTAGTTGAGGGCAAATTATATCGTGCACCGCGGTGCATAATCGATTATGCACCGAGCTTCAAAACGACGTCGTTTTGTTCAATGAAAGAAACGGCACCCTTTTTGCGCCGTTCCGCAAAAAGTATCTCTGTTGAAGTAACTCTGTTATTCAGTTTCATTCTGTATACACTGCAGTGTCAGTTCGACACAACTACAGTTTCATTTCGATATAACTACACTTTCATTCGATATTTATACACTCAAATATGTGAAAATGTTATTTAATTTTATTTTTTATACACTATAGTTTCATTAAAATACAATTACATGATCATTTCAATATAACTACATATTCATTGCACAATATACACTCAAATATGTGAAATGCTATTCAGTTTCATTTTATATACACTGCAGTTTTATTTCAACACAACTACAATGTCATTTTTATATAACTACAGTTTCGCTGTGTAATATACACTAAAATATGTGAAATTGTTATTCAGTTTCATTTTGTATACACTGCATTTTCGTTTCAACACAACTACAGTTTCATTTCATTTCAATTGCAGTTTCACTTGATAATATAAAAAATAATACGTGAGGCAGCGTCAGTTTAGATACATTGTAGTTTCAGTTGGTAATTAATACACAAAAAATACACATTTTGTTAACTGTAACTGAAAGAAACGGCGTCCTTTTTTACCGCGGTGCACGTGCACCACGGTCCACGATATAACGACCCTTTAGGTGGACTTCTAATTTTACTATAAGTGACTTCTTTGATATTGAATGGTATTGCTGTCACATATATTGTATTTAGTATAGTTACACAGGTATAATGAATTGTATAAAATGTTATTAATCTTGTATTGATAATGTTTTGTACAATCTATTATACTTGTGTGATTATATATAGTTATAACACTATATTAATATCGATAGATACTTTATTTTTAAAATTATTTACTAAGTAGATTGATTCAGTTATATCTTTAAATATAAAAATTATTGTTTTTAAGAATTACAAGTCAAGACTTTTAGGGGCCGTTTACTAACTGAAAATTTCTGGGAATTTATGGAAACTGGAAAATAGAAAACAGAAAACATGTTTACTAACACAGTTTCTATTTTGAAAACTGAAAATAATTTCTGGAAAACTGAAACACACTTAAAAACTATTTTCGAAATGGAAAACATAATCATCTATCATCTATATGTCACTATAACCACACTACATTGTAGTATCTGTTCATATACTTTCTCAACCTACTGAAACACAAAGAACCAATAACGCCTCCACTAAGGCTCGAACTCATAACCTTCCAAATGGAAGTCCAACCCAAATACCATTAGACCACATAGTCTTGGTCTTTTATCTTTACTTACTTTACTTATTTAAACATGATGCATTTACTTACACTTTAAAGTTAGACATTATTTACCTTATCAAAATTAAGAATTAAACTCTATATAATACTTTAGATTTTGATTGAACTCAA